CCTATTGGCTGCCCCCGCGCATCCGCGCCTTCCTATTGGCTGACCCCGCGTCGCTGCGCGCCGCTTTTCACCTTCCCCCCCTGCCCCACCCACCTGATGAAGAGGTTCCGGCTGCGGCCGCCATTGCCCCGCAGCGCCGCCGCCGCCATTGGCGCCCGGGCCTCGGGCCAGATATTCCCGTTTTTTTGGGAATATCGCGGGGGGAGCGGGTGAGTGCGGATCCCTCGGGATGCTCCCGGTTCGGTTCCTGCGGGGGGAACGGGAGAGCGAGGCGGGAATGGCGTGTGCGACGCCCTGTGGTGTCCGGGTTCTCCCTTCCCTCACAGCCGGGAGCTCCGGGAGAGGGGAATTCCCACCTGGAAATTCCTTAATCCCGATATCCCCATGAGGGAATTCCCTGAATCCCGATATTCCTGTAAGGGAATTCCCCCCTGGATTTCCTTAATCCCGATATTCCTCATAAGGGAATTTCCTCCTGGATTTCCTTAATCCCGGTATTCCCATGGAAATCTCTGTGGGAGAAATTCCCTCCTGGAAATTCCTTAATCCTGATATCCCCATGGAGATTTCGGAGCGTAATTCCCTCCTGGATGTTCCCTATTCCCGATATTCCTGGATTTCCTTCATCCCGATATTCCCTGAGAGCTCTGAGGGGAATTCCCTTGGAAATCTCGGAGGGAGAAATTCCCCTCATGGAAATCCCTTAATCCCGGTTTTCCATTGGAAATCTCTGAGGGGAATTCCCACCTGGATGTTCCCTAATCCAAATATTCCCATGGAAATCTCTGAGGGAGGAATTCCCTCCCTCAGATCCCCAAATCCCATTTTTTCCCCCCCTCCTTCCCAATCCCATTCCCAAATCCCGTTTTTTCCCTCCCTGCTCCCTCTTCCCTTTTGATTTCCTTTCCCATTTTCCTCCTATTTTGACCTTCCCATTGCTCAAATCCATGGAAAACTCAGCGGGAAAGATCCGATCCCATCAATATTCCGGGAATTTCCTCCTTCCCAGCCCTCATTTTTTGGGAATATCCCACTAAAATTTTCTTTCCTTTCTCTTCCAGGACAAAACCAGAGAATCAACCCAAAAATCCATGGAAAATCCAGATTATCCCAATTTCCCCTCATTTTCCTCGTAATTTCCTGCAATTTCCAACCTTCCAAATCCCGTTTTTTTTGGGGGGGGAATAACGGGAATAAAACCCATTCCAAACTTTCTCGCCTCGAGCGGGAATTTTCCATTTCCCATCCCGCATGGACAGAGAGACCTTGGCTTTTTCCACCGCTTTTTTCCAGGATTTTGGGAATTCTCCGGAAGATTTTCCCGGGGATCGGGTGGATTTTATCGACAAATCCGATTCTTTCACGTATTCCCAATTTTTCCGGGATTATCTCCTTCCCAACCGTCCCTGCGTCTTCTCGGCCGAGTTCACCAAGGATTGGAGCAGTCGGAAATTCTGGGTCACGCAGGATGGGAAACCCGACCTGGAGCGGCTCCTGCAGGAATTCCAAGGTAAATCCGGGAATTTTTTCCCAAATCTTAAAGGATGGAATTTATTAGGATTGAATTTTAGGGATAAAAGCAGAAAAAAACCCTGAAATTCCACGTTTTTTCCCATAATATATTGAATTTTTCCCATTTTTTATTTGAAAATTCCAAGGTGAAATTTATTCCCAAGTTTTATTTCTTATCCCTATTTCCATCAATTAAAAATCTTGGATAATTTCATGATTCCAAATCTTAAACAATGAAATTTTTAGGAATTAATTTTAGGGATAAAAGCACCAAAACCCCAAAATTCCAAGGTTTTTTCTTGGAATAATCCGTGGATTTTTTCCCATTTATTCCCAAATTTTATTTCTTGTTCCTATTTCCATCAATTAAAAATCTTGGATAATTTCATGATTCCATTTATTCCCAAATTTTATTTCTTGTTCCTATTTCCATCAATTAAAAATCTTGGATAATTTCATGATTCCAAATCCCAAAGGATGGAATTTTTAGGAATTCATTTTTGGGATAAAATCCTAAAAAAACCCCCAAAATTCCAAGGTTTTTCCCATAATATATGGAATTATTTTCCAATTTTTTCTTGGTCTGGTTTGCAGATTCCAAGGTGAAATTTATTCCCAAATTTTATTTCTTATTTTGATTAAAATCGATTAAAAATCTTGGATAAATTAATGATTCCAAACCCTAAAGGATGGAATTTATTAGGATTGGATTTTAGAGATAAAAACACAAAAAACCCAAAATTCCAATTTTTTTCTTGATTTAATTAATGGAATTTTTTTCCCCATTTTTTCCCCATTTATTCCCAAATTTTATTTCTTATTTCGATTAAAATCAATTAAAAATCTTGGATAATTTAATGATTCCAAACCCTAAAGGATAAAAGGAAAAACCCAGGAACTTAATTAATTAAAGGATTTAATTAATAGAGAGATGATAAATATAAAATATAATTAATGTTAAAATATTTGTCATTAATTTTAATTTTCTTTCTATGGAGAATAATTATTAATGAATCACTGATTAATTAAGGAATATTTATTATCATGTTTAATTATTAAACCCTAATTAATGCCTCGCCCCTAATGAGATTTTAAAGGAAAATTCCCTTTAAAGGAAAAAAATGGAGAAATTCAGGAATTGGGAAAGAAAACCAGGAAACTCATTAATAAAATAATTAAATTATTAAAAATAAAATAAGGAAAAAACACAATGAACATTAAGATATTTGTAATTAATTAGAATTTTTAAATAAAATAATTAAAAATTAATGAGAATTAAGAATTCTTTGTGGATTGCAGATTAATTAAAGAATGTTTATGGAATTATTAGGAATGTATTTGAATATTAATTCCTAATTAATGGAATTGAGGAGGAAAATTCCCTTTCAAATTCCTTTCGTGGCAAGGAAAAACACGAAAAATAATTAATAAAACAATAAAATTAATAGGTAATGAGTATAAAAATAGAATGAACATTTAAATATTCCTAATTATTTAGAATTTATTCTGTGCTGAATATGAGTCATCAATTAATTCATACGAATGAATTATTAATTAATCACCAATTAATATTTATGAGTTCATTTGAATAATATTATACACAAACATATTTGAATAGTCATGCATATTTATGACGTAATTAAACATTATTTTATTATAATGAACACAATTAAATGCTCGTTAATATGCATGACCACCGTTAAATATATTTATGAGCATATTTGAATATTATTTATATTTATGAACTCATTTGCATATCAGTATTGTTTAAAAATGCATTTTAATTTTTGTTAATGAGGCTATTTGAATATTTTCTCATATTTATCAACATTTGCATATTCATATTTATGACATCATTTTAATATCTCATGTTTAATAGGAAACGTAATTCATACTTATGGCCTCATTTTAGTATTTGCATTAATTAACGCATTTCAATACTTGTTTGTATATGAGGTGATTTGAATATTCATGCATGTTGATGGCCTCATTTGCATAATCCCTCCCATCCGGGAGCGCCTCCTCTGGCTGCCCCAAGGCCGGAATTCCGGGAATCATTCCCGGCCCCCTGCGGCTTCCAGAGCGCAATTCCCACGGGATCTGTCCCTGATTGATTCCCACGGGATCTGTCCCTGATTCCCACGGGATCTGTCCCTGATTGATTCCCTCGGGATCTGTCCCTGATTGATTCCCACGGGATCTGTCCCTGATTGATTCCCTCGGGATCTGTCCCTGATTGATTCCCACGGGATCTGTCCCTGATTCCCACGGGATCTGTCCCTGATTGATTCCCTCGGGATCTGTCCCTGATTGATTCCCACGGGATCTGTCCCTGATTGATTCCCTCGGGATCTGTCCCTGATTGATTCCCTCGGGATCTGTCCCTGATTCCCTCGGGATCTGTCCCTGATTCCCTCAGGATCTGTCCCTGATTGATTCCCACGGGATCTGTCCCTGATTGATTCCCTCGGGATCTCTCCCTGATTCCCTCAGGATCTGTCCCTGATTGATTCCCACGGGATCTGTCCCTGATTGATTCCCTCGGGATCTCTCCCTGATTCCCTCAGGATCTGTCCCTGATTGATTCCCACGGGATCTGTCCCTGATTGATTCCCTCGGGATCTCTCCCTGATTCCCTCAGGATCTGTCCCTGATTGATTCCCACGGGATCTGTCCCTGATTGATTCCCTCGGGATCTCTCCCTGATTCCCTCAGGATCTGTCCCTGATTGATTCCCACGGGATCTGTCCCTGATTGATTCCCTCGGGATCTCTCCCTGATTCCCTCAGGATCTGTCCCTGATTGATTCCCACGGGATCTGTCCCTGATTGATTCCCTCGGGATCTCTCCCTGATTCCCTCAGGATCTGTCCCTGATTGATTCCCACGGGATCTGTCCCTGATTGATTCCCTCGGGATCTCTCCCTGATTCCCTCAGGATCTGTCCCTGATTGATTCCCACGGGATCTGTCCCTGATTGATTCCCTCGGGATCTCTCCCTGATTCCCTCAGGATCTGTCCCTGATTGATTCCCACGGGATCTGTCCCTGATTGATTCCCTCGGGATCTCTCCCTGATTCCCTCAGGATCTGTCCCTGATTGATTCCCACGGGATCTGTCCCTGATTGATTCCCTCGGGATCTCTCCCTGATTCCCTCAGGATCTGTCCCTGATTGATTCCCACGGGATCTGTCCCTGATTGATTCCCTCGGGATCTCTCCCTGATTCCCTCAGGATCTGTCCCTGATTGATTCCCACGGGATCTGTCCCTGACTGATTCCCTTGGGATCTCTCCCTGATTCCCGCTGATCTCTCCCCGATTCCCTCTGGATCTCTCCCTGATTCCCTTGGGATCTGTCCCCGATTCCCGCTGATCTCTCCCTGCAGGAGCAGCCCCGGTGCCGGTGGCCAACTGTGACCTTCGGGAATACAATTCCCACCCCAAGGAGCTGCTGCCCTTCCCGGAATTTGTGGAATATTGGCGGGAATTCATCAGCAACGGGCACCGCTCCTCGCGCGGCTGCCTCTACCTCAAGGACTGGCACCTGAGCAGGTCCTTCCTGAAATTCCCACCGGGAATGTTCCTCTGGACAGGGATCCCGGGAATCCTCAGGGCTCCTTTCCCAAATTCCCACCGGGAATGTTCCCCTGGACAGGGATCCTGGGAATCCTCAGGGCTCCTTCCCCAAATTCCCACCAGGAATGTTCCCCTGGACAGGGATCCCGGGAATTCTCAGGGCTCCTTTCCCAAATTCCCACCGGGAATGTTCCCCTGGACAGGGATCCCGGGAATTCTCAGGTCTCCTTCCCAAAATTCCACACTGGGAGAAAGGAAAGGATCCAAGGAATTCTCAGGACTTTTTCCCAAATTTCTGCCCCGGGAATGTTCTCCTGGAGAAGGATCCAGGGAATCCTCAGGGCCCTTCTGGGGCCGGAAGGAGCTCCAGGAGAGCCCGGGAAGGATTTGGGATCAGGCAGGGAATGGCAGGAGTCAAGGAATGGCTTCCGCTTCCTTCCCGTGGGATTTTGGGAAGGAATTCCTGGCAATTCCACGGGGTTGGAACTTTGAAGATCCCAAAAATTCCATAATTCCAGGATTTCCAATTGCTCCAATTGAAGGCAAAGCAAGGGAGAGGAGAAAAAAAATTCCAACATTCCCTGAGGATTCCAAAAATCCCAGCATTCCCTGAGGGATCTCTGAGGGATTCCCGAGCTCCCAATTCCCAAAATTCCCGATTTTCCAGGCTGCTGGCATTCCCAGTTTTTATTCCAAGCTCCAATTCCATTTGGGAAGGAATTCCTGGCTGGGAGGGGCAGGGCTGGAATTCCCTGGAATTCCCTGAATCCCTGGAAGTGGCCACAGTTGGGATGGTGGGAATGGCCCTGGGATGGGACGGGATGGGATGGGACGGGATGGGATGGGATGGGATGGGATGGGATGGGATGGGATGGGATGGGATGATCCCAAAATCCCAAACTGGGGAAATTTGGATCGGGATTGGGACTGGGATTGGGATTGAGATTCGGATTGGGATCAGGATTGGAAATGGGATCGGGATTGGGACTGGGATTGGGATTGGAACTGCAATCAGGATTGGGATTGGGATTGGGATTTAAATTGGAACTGGGATTGGAGCTGGGATTGGGATCAGAGTTGGGATTGGGATTGGAAGAGGGATTGGGATTGGAGCTGGGATTGGGATTGAGATTCAGATTGGGGTTGGAATTGAAATTGGAACTGGGATTGGGATCGGGATTGGAACTGGGATCAGGATTGGGTTTGGAACTGGGATTGGGATCGGGATTGGAATTGGAAATGGGATCGGGATCAGAGTTGGGATTGGGATTGGAAGAGGGATTGGGATTGGAATTGGGACAGGGATTGGAGCTGGGATTGGGATTGAGATTCGGATAGGGGTTGGAATTGAAATTGGAACTGGAATTGGGATCGGGATTGGAACTGGAATTGGGATCGGGATTGGAACTGGGATTGGGATCGGGATTGGGATTCAGATTCACATTCAGACTGGAATTGGAACTGGGATTGGGATCAGTTAGGATTGGGATTGGAAGAGGGATTTGGATTGGAATTGGGACAGGGATTGGAGCTGGGATTGGGATTGAGATTCAGATTGGGATCGGAATTGGGATTGGAACTGGGATTGGGATCGGGATTGGAAGAGGGATTGGGATTTGGATTGAGATTCAGATTGGGATTGGGATCAGGATTGGGACTGGAACTGGAATTGTAACTGGGATCAGGATTGGGATTGGGAGTGGAAATGGAATTGGGGTCGAGATTGGGATCAGGATTGGGATTGGAATTGGGATCAGGACTGGAACTGGGATTGGGATTGGAATTTGGATTGAAATAGGGATTGGAATTGGAATAGGAATTGGGATTGGGATTGGGGTTGGAACTGGGATTGGGATTTGAATTGGGATTGAAATGGCATTGGGATTGAGATTCAGATTGGAATTGGAACTGGGATTCAACTGAGATTGGGATCGGAATTGGAACTGGGATTGGGATCAGAGTTGGGATTTGGATCAGGACTGGGACTGGGATTGGAACTGGGATCAGGATTGGGACTGGGATTGGTACTGGAACTGGGATTGGAATTGGGATTGGGATTGGGACCAGGATTGGAATTAGGATTGGGATTGGGATTATTCCATGGCTCTGTTGGATCTGGGATCCTTGATTATCCATCAGCTTTTCCAGGAAATTCCCACTCCTCCCGATTCCCTTCTCCCGCCTCTGCTTTTCCTCCTCCAGCTGCCAAAGAACCTTGGGAAGGAATGTTCCCCGTGGGAATGGGGAGGAGCCAGAATTCCCAAAAAATCCACCACTCCCCCTAAATCCTTGGAATTAACCAAACCAGCTCGGAACAACCCCGGGATAGAAAAAAAACCGGGATGAGCTCCAGAACCTCCCCCAAATTCCACCCTAAAGGATCCTCGGGAACTTGGGATCCCGCTTTTCCGAGCTCCTTGTGTTTTCCAGAGCTTTCCCGGAGCGGGAATTTTACAGCATTCCCGTGTATTTTATCTCGGATTGGCTGAATGAATATTGGGATGCCGTGGGCGCCGACGATTTCCGCTTCGTCTACATGGGACCCAAGGGATCCTGGTAAGGCTCCGATCCCGGAAAATTCCCACTTTTCCAGCCGGATATCCCAAAAAATTCCCGTTATCCCGCTGGAAAAGCGGGGAGGGAAAAGGGGAAAATCCCAAATTCTCCTCAAAAAAACGATCCCGGGAATTGAGAAATTCCCTCGGGATCGGCCGCTCGGAATGCGCGGGGAGAATTCCGGAGTTTTCCAGGTGAAAATTCCAGCCTGGAGTTGGTTCTGGAATTGGGATTTGGGGGGGTTTTGATGGGAATTCTCGGCCCTCGAGGAATTTTTTGGGATAAGTGAGAAAGGATAGAAAATGTTCCGTTATCCAGCCGGAATTCCGGGAGGAATTTTGGGATCGGGATGGATCCAATGGCTTTTTAAGGACTCGATAATCCAATCAAAAGAATCCAAACTCCACAATCCAACGGAAATTCCATGAGGAATTTTGGGATCAGTATCCCTATAATGGCTTTAATGGCCCAAAATCCATAATCCAATGGAAATTTTTCATGGAATTTTGGGATCGGGCTGGATCCAGTGGCCTTTCAAGAGCCCAAACTCCGTAATCCAATGGAAATTCCACGAGGAATTTCGGGATCGGGATGGATCCAGTGGCTTTAACAGCCCCAAACTCCACATTCCAACCGAAATTCCATCAGGAATTTTGGGATCAGGGTCCCCATAGGGACCAAACTCCAGAATCCAACGGAAATTCCTCGTGGAATTTCAGGATCAGCCCCTCGGTTTCTCAACCGCTCAAATCCCTGGTGGAACTTTTTGGGATCGATTCCCGCCCGTCCCCGATTTTTTCCAGGAAAAGCGGCTTTTGAATGACTCAAACTCCCTAATCCAACCAAAATTCCCTGAAAAATTTTGGGATTGGGATAGATCCAGTGGCTTTAACAGCCCAACGGCAGAATTTTTCAGGATCGATTCCCGCCCATCCTTGATTTTTTCCAGGAAAAGCGGCTTTTGAATGACTCAAACTCCCTAATCCAATGGAAATTCCATGAGGAATTTTGGGATCAGAATCCCTATAAGGGCTTTAACAGCCCAAACTCCATAATCCAATGGAAATTCCATGAAGAATTTTGGGATTGGGATGGATCCAGTGGCTTTAACAGCCCCAAACTCCACAATCCAACGGAAATTCCTCGTGGAATTTCGGGATCAGCCCCTCGGTTTCTCTTCCTCTTGAATTCCTGGCGGAATTTTTCGGGATCGCTTCCCTCTCCGTTCCATTCCCGATTTTTCCCAGGACTCCGTTCCACGCCGACGTTTTCCGCTCCTACAGCTGGTCGGCCAACGTGTGCGGCCGGAAGCGCTGGCTGCTGTATCCGCCGGGAGAGGAGCGATTCCTCACGGATATCCGCGGGAATCTCCCCTTCGACCTGACGGCTCCGGAATTCCGGGATCCGCGGATTTATCCGCGCTCCGGCCGCGCCCGAGCCCCTCTGGAGATCATCCAGGAAGCCGGAGAGATCGTCTTCGTTCCCAGCGGGTGGCACCACCAGGTGCACAACCTGGTGAGGGAATTCCCGCCGGGAATCGCTCCGGGAATTCGGGGATGGGAATTCCGGCTTTTTGGCGGATCCGCGGGGAAAAGGTGGAGCGTGGGCTTTTGGGATGGTTTTTTTCCCCCCGGAGATTTTCCGTGTTTGGAAGGGGTTTGGATGAGGATTGGAGAGCTCTGGGATGATCCTTAAGGTGCTTTTCCAGCCAAATAATTCCAGGAATTCCGTGATATTCCAGGAATTCCGTGGTTTTCCAGGAATTCCGTGGTTTTCCAGGAATTGGGAGGAAAAAGAAGAGAAAACGTTGGAAATCCTTCCCAGGAAGGAGAAATTCCATCTTGGAGCACCCTGGAATATTGGGAATGGGATGATCCTTAAGGTCTTTTCCCAACTAAATAATTCCAGGAATTCCGTGGTTTTCCAGGAATTGGGAGGAAAAAGAAGAGAAAACGTTGGAAATCCTTCCCAGGAAGGAGAAATTCCATCTTGGAGCAGCGGGAATTGTCCCTGCCCACGGATCCTTTCCATCCCAAATCTTTCTGGGATCATCCCATGGAATTCTGGGATGTTCAAAGCACCAAAATCTCCTCGGGCCCCTGGAATTCCGGAGCGAATTCCATGGAAAAAGCCGCCTGCTTCCCGTATTCCCGCTTTTTTCGGCGGGAAATTCCTCGGGAATGGGATCCTGGATGAGCCAGAGCCGGGGGGAGCTGAGAATCCCGGGAATTGGGATGGGATCGGGGCCAATTCCAAGATTCCATGGAATTCCATGGAAAGGAGCGGCGCTGCTCCCCCCCCCTTCTCCCAGCCCTCGGATTTTTTGGGAATTTGGGATCGTTTGGAATTTGGGATCTTTTCCAAAGACTTGGAAAAAGGAATTTCCCAGGATTTCAATGCCGGGGAATCCTTTCCCTTCTCAAGAATTGGAATTTCGGAGGAGAAAATTCCTTTTTATTATCCCTAATAAATTAATTAATGATTAATCATTAATTATCCATGGGTTTTCCCTCATTTTTTTTGGGAATCAGAGAATCAGGGAGTCAGAGAATTTGGGAATCAGGGTTCCTAAAGAAGGAATTTCCCAGGATTTCGATTCCTTTCCCTTCTCAAGAGCAGGAATTTCGGATCGACAATTCCATCTCATCACCCCTAATAAATTAATTAGTGATTAATCATTAATTATCTGTAGATTATCCCAACTTTTTCCAGGGAATTTAGGGACATTTTGGGGTTCCTAAAGAAGGAATTTCCCAGGATTTCGATTCCTTTCCCTTCTCAAGAGCAGGAATTTCGGATCGACAATTCCATCTCATCCCCCCTAATAAATCAATTAGTGATTAATCATTAATTATCCATGGGCTTTTCCAAATTTTGGGGGGAATTAGAGGCATTTTGAGGTTTCTAAAGAAGGAATTTCCCAGGATTTCGATTCCTTTCCCTTCTCAAGATCAGAAATTTCAGAGCAGTAAATTCCATCTCATCGCCCCTAATTAATTAATTGGCGACTAATCATTAATTATCTGTGGATTATCCCTGATTTTTTTGGGAATCAGGGACATTTTGGGGTTCCTAAAGAAGGAATTTCCCAGAATTTCGATTCCTTTCCCTTCTCAAGAACGGAAATTTTGGAGCGACAATTCCATCTCATCACCACTAATGAATTAATTAGTGATAAGTCATTAATTATCTGTGGGTTTTTCCTAATTTTTTTGGGAATCAGAGGATCAGGGAGTCAGGGAATTCGGGAATCAGCGTTTCTGAAGACGGAATTTCCCAGGATTTTGATTCCTTTCTCTTCTCAGGAACAGGAATTTCGGAGCGACAATTCCATCTCATCGCCCCTAATTAATTAATTAGCGATTAATGATTAATTACCCCACGTTTCCCGGCAGGAGGACACCATCTCCATCAACCACAACTGGCTGAACGGCTGCAGCGTGGGCCGCATGTGGCGCTTCCTGCGGGAGGAGCTGGCGGCCGTGAGCCGGGAGCTGAGCCGCTGGCACGGCCCCGACGGCCACGACCGCCTCCAGTGCCAGGTCCGGAATTATCCCGGAATTCCCGGAATTCCGGGAATTTTCCCGGCCGGAATTTTCCCTCTCGGGTTTTGGAAGGAAGGAGGAGTGGAGTTTTAAGTTCTTGTTTTGGTTTATTTTGGGTTTTGGTTTTGTTATTGTTTTGTTTTGGCGGGGAACGTTCCCGATAAAAATTTTGGGAGTTGGTTGGAAAAGTGGGAAATTTTGGGATGGGGAAAAGTGGGAATGTTCAGCTGGAGAAGGGAAAATTCCAGGGAGAAATCACAGAGATCCTTCCGGAGATTAAAAAAAGCTTTTTGCCACAAAATCCCAGAATTCTGGCCCAAAATCCCGGAATTCCCACCCAAAATCCCGGAATTCCCACCCAAAATCCCAAAATTCCAACCCAAAATCCCAGAATTCCCACCCAAAAGAATTCTGACCCAAAATCCCAGAATTCCCACCCAAAATCCCGGAATTCCCACCCAAAATCCCGGAATTCCCACCCAAAGTCGGAATCCCGACCCAAAATCCGGGAATTCCCACCCAAAAGAATTCTGACCCAAAATCCCGGAGTTCTGACCCAAAATCCCTGAATTCCAACCCAAAATCCCTGAATTCCCACCCAAAATCCCGGACTTCTGACCTAAATCCCAGAATTCCCTCCCAAAATCCCAGAATTCCCACCCAAAGTCGGAATCCTGACCCAAAATCCCGGAATTCCCACCCAAAATCCCGGAGTTCCCACCCAAAATCTGGGAATTCCCACCCAAAATCCCGGAATTCCCACCCAAAATCCCGGAATTCCCACCCAAAATCCTGGAATTCCCACCCAAAATCCCGG